GAAATAACTTGGCCAACGAGGCAGTAACAGGAAAATGGACGATTGAAAATGAACTTACATACCATGCCCATGCATCTGCGGCTACACACGAGATGAGGTAGGTACGTCCCAAATTCCGATAAGATTACTAACAGTTTAAAAAAAAATTGCCAATGCTATTAAATATTTTTTGCCATTGGCACCCACCATGGGACAGGAATGATCAATTCATTCTTGATAGATTGATTGTGATCCTTCTATCAAAAATGAATTGATCATCCCTTTGGGGAATCATCATCACCTTCATATATATTATTTTATAATTTAATGTAGATACGTTTGCTTTTGTTGAATATCAGGCGTAATATTATGTCTGGTTTTATGTTATGTCTTACCACACTGCCTTCATCGGGGTCATAAAGTCGCTGTATAAGTTGGATGAGAGTGGATTTCCCGCACCCGCTGGATCCCACGAAAGCCACACGTTTGCCGAATGGGATAAGCACTGACAGTCCACTTAACACTTCTACTTCACGTCGTGTTGGGTATCGGAACTTTATATTTTTGTACTGAATTTTGCCCTCGGCCACCTAAAAATAAGAATTAACGATATAAAAGCTTGTTGATAATATGGTATGATGGTAAAATGAGTCGCTGTGCAAATTATTTGCACCTAACTTCAGATATTAAGTATGCCATACATAAACCCCATTTTATTTTCTCAATTAACTTGTCGAGTACCGTCATTACAGACACAATTATAGAACAATAGGTTGCGGTCACCGGTGACCGCTTGGTGTTTGACAGTTTAAAATACATAACGCAAAAACCGTAGTCATGATTAGATTATGAAAACATCAAATAGAAAAACATGAAAACTATTAGGAGAAGTTATTCGGGCATAAGGGTTTCATTGCACTTACGTAATCAATCGGTACACTAGGTGACTCCGTGTCAGCTACTTTCGGTTTCCGGGCAAGCAGCGTCATAACACGACCAGCAGCGCTCACCGCCGCACCGAAGTTAGGAGCGAACGCTAACGCCTGACCCATCATCCAAGCTCCGAAGATAAGAGCTTCAGATACCCTGAAACATAAATCTCCTTTATAAATATATGGACGTGGGAGAGCCACGCTTCAGCTTCGGCATAAATTAACCGGCTCGACTTTAGTGATAGATACTACAGCCTCACAGAAAACCGGGGTGAAAAACGTCGTGTGAGTGAGGTTCATCATCATCATCATCATATCAGCCACAGGACGTCCACTGCTGAACATAGGCCTCCCCCAATGACTTCCAGATAGGCCGGTTGGAAGCGACCTGCATCCAGCGGTTCCCTGCGACCTTAATGAGATCGTCTGTCCACCTTGCGGATGGACGTCCTACGCTGCGCTTGCCGGTACGTGGCCTCCACTCGAGAACCTTTCTGCCCCAGCGGCCGTCGGTTCTCCGCGCTATGTGCCCTGCCCACTGCCACTTCAACTTGCTAATCCGCTGGGCTATGTCGGCGACCTTTGTTCGTTTGCGGATTTCCTCGTTTTTTAACCGATCTCGCAAAGAAACTCCGAGCATAGCCCTTTCCATAGCGCGCTGAGCGACCTTGAACTTCTTTATAAGGCCCACAGTAAGAGACCACGTTTCTGTTCC